GGATTTGTATTAATTTTTATAAAATCTATTTTCCTAAAGATGTTTGTATAATGGACTTGTATTGATTTGTATAAAAATCTAGTTTCTATAAAGATGTTTGTGTAATGGACTTGTGTTGATGTTTATAATACCTAGTTTCTATAGAAATGTTTGTGTAATGGATTTGTATTAATTTTTATAAAATCTATTTTCCTAAAGATGTTTGTATAATGGACTTGTATTGATTTGTATAAAAATCTAGTTTCTATAAAGATGTTTGTGTAATGGACTTGTATTGATTTTTATGATACCTAGTTTCTATAAAGATGTTTGTGAAATGGATTTGTATTGATTTTTATAAAATCTATTTTCCCTAAAGATGTTTGTGTAATGGACTTGTATTGATTTGTATAAAATCTAGTTTCTATAAAGATGTTTGTGTAATGGTTTTGTATTGATTTTTATGATATTGTTACGTATTAAGAATTTGAATAATCCAAAGCTGCTTTAAATAATTTAACTTTTAATAGTTGAACTGTACCCTGGATTTAGTGTTTAGAAATATGCCGATATTTTATTTAATTTACGCTATTTCCAACAAAATTGATTCACACCATTTTTGTTTTTGACATAAATACGTTTTAATATATATATATATATATATATATACAACACTCTAATTTACAATAGCGACTATTATGATTAATTATTACAAACCAAGCTTCATAAACAGAAAGTTCACTAATTTACAAATAGCCTAAAATCGTCTTCCTAGTTCAGTCTCCTTGATATCCAGCGAATTTACTTGAAATTGAAATTGAAGTCGATGTACGACAATTATCGGGAAGCTAGCTAGCTTTGTCAGGCACTGAATTGTTGGACCATCGAATTAAGATAATATTTTCATAAAACCACTAATGTCCGATGAGAAATCATTAATATTTTTGGAAAGATATTAACGTTTGATGAGAATTCACTGTTCCTGTTATAGCTGTTCCTGGCCAAATGTCGTATATTTTCCGGTTGGTAAGGGTTAGCAAAATCACAGTTTATAGCTTACACGGTTATAACAGTTTCATAGCACACTTGTCTTTTCTCTGTTGTCTGTTGTTTTTATAGGCGAATCACATTTTCTAGAAACTTCTGACAATACCGGCTACGGAAGTGGATATACTGTTGATTCTTGTGTTCACGAATATTCTACAATCTTGGAGAATTGGGGGGGGGAGTTTCGCCATACCTAACTAACACAGTAAGCTAGACACACTCTCAAATATAAACTTATTCGAAATAAACGTTGACATTAAGATAAATATACAACAAATTCGTTATACGCAACACATATCTGATACTACAAGTAATGCATATTTCTAAATACAAATTTAATCCAAACAACGTTCATATTAAAAATAAATATATAATAATAAATTCGTTACAAGGATGATACAATATCACTGACCTTTTTCGAATACTCATGTCTAAACTTCTGCTCTCTATAAACATTTCTTTGTCGCAGCCAACAATCAGAACCATGTTTTTCTGCCATTTTCCTCTCAAAAAATTATCTGAGGGTGGTGAATTATTACCAGAAAATTATTAGTAGAAAAAGGTTGAGGAAAAAATTCAGGAATTTTGCATTAAATAACAACAATTTGCACAGGCATACAATGAAAAAAGATTCAAAATAATTATGCTTAAATTGTAAGAGTGGCAGGTCTGTATAATCTGCACACAGACAATTATCATCATCATGACAAAAGAAATATAATATAATATAAAATTACATTCAAAGAATTCAGGTCTGACACCATGTCAACAGTTAGCAACCAACGGTAGCATAAATCACATGTTGAAACAAAGAACAAGTATTTCTTTGTTTGTTTGTAATTAAGCATAAAGCTACACAATGGGCTATCTGTGCTCTGTCCACCTTGGGTATCGAAACCAGGTTTATAGCATTGTAAGTCCACAGACATACCACTGTGCCACTGGGGGGCAAGAACTAGTAGATTTTTCTGTAGATATAAACTCTTATAATCTTATTACTTGTTGAAAGCTATAATTTTCCAATACTGAAAATATATTTCTGATAGGTACTTCTCTCCTCTCACAAGATTAGCTATCCTCGTCCAGTGCTGCCCTCTATATGCAAATTTTTTCTATGTGCATGCCACAAACCTCCTTCTTCCCCTATTGATATTAAATGATTCCAACATGTCTCTCATGTAAATCATCATGCATCACTTCTCCACTAATAGGAGTGTGACATACTCACGTGATGCATGTGACTCCCTCTATACGCCACTACCGATCTATCACTTCGAGGTTTGGCAGAAGACATAAGCACAGTAGGAAAGTGGGGAGAAAGTGTGAGTAAAAGGAAGTACCTATCAGAAATACATTTTCAGTACAGGAAAATGATAACTTCAGATACAGTACTTCCCTCCTCTCACAAGATTAGCTAGAATCCCACATTTATTAGGTGGCGGGATCAGTGCGAGAGAATGACAGAGAGAGTCAGATCCCAAGATCTGATGAGGGAAACTGCACCACTTTTCAAACAGGTATATTCTTTGCCCATCCATGAAATGTGTAGTAGATAAGGGCAAAAAAAGAGAGGAGCACATCCAAGTGGGAGAGAACTGTGGCAGGATAGTGATCCTAAACATGTAAATATATATGTAATTCAATCCCACAAAGTATAAAAGTGGGTAGAACAATGGACGTGTCCCTAGGTTTAGAGTGGCTAGTACATGACAGGCTGTACTTGGTAAGTCAACTACATCCTAAACCCATGCTGCTGGGAATTGACATCCATGTGAGGGTAGGATGAGGATCATACTGTTTTAACCTCAAGTTAAAGAGACCAGGGGAATCTAGAACCACTCCGACTCCTGATCATGACACATGTTAGCTTTGATCTATCAATCCGGGGACCCAACATCCAGTAACAAAAGAATGTCGATATAATATAAATCAACTCCTCAAACAGCAAAACTGAATGGAGCCATTCAAAAAGGAATAACGTCCTCAGAATAAGATACAATGCGGGATAGCAAAAAGAACAGAACCAGAACAATCTCTTTTACATCCACTGTGATCCACAACACAGGAGTATGATTGAGGAAGGACTATAGACAACCATAAACATGTATGAGGACTTATGTTGATTGATTTACTCTAAATCCAAAACCCAGCCATTGGGTACCAACATTCACATGGAGGTAAAATGAAGGGTCCAAATCAAAGGGGTGAACTGCAATGTAACATCTGATATTGGAGGACAGCATGTCATATACACCTGCAGAACACTACTGCCCTACTCTGCACTGAATGGCTATAGCCATCTTTTTGTGGAACCCATCCAGGAGGGTGCCTTCACAGTCAACCACCCCAGAAGCTTGGAACTGGAAAGTGGTAAGGACTCCCAACAGCACTTTCCATTTGCACTGATACACCTCCATTGAAGATAAGATGTATGGAATGAGCTAAATGAAAAGCTACTCGATGAGACAAACCCGAGATCCTCGCCAAGGACCGGATAAATGCCAGGCATGAAGACAAAGGACAGGAATGGCTGGATGTAGAACTGGTGACCAAGGCTGATGAAGAAAGGGGGAGACAAAGGAAGAGGTACTGGAGGGAAAAGTTGCAGTTGTTGTAATCATAGAAACCATGGTTGAGCTGGCCAATAAGGAGCAATCAGAAGGTCTTGAGATGGATTGGTATGGATGAAAGAGAAGGCCAATGAAGTAATCTGATAGGAGGATAAACATAAAGAAATTTGTGGGACAATCCTGCCCGAATGCATCGACAGCAGGAGTCCAAGGATGAGGTACTGGGGACCAAAAGAGGAATAACTTGTGATTGAGGTATGTGGGAAATGCAAAGCCACCAGAAAATGAGGGGATCTAAAGACCACTCTGTCAGATATATTGGGTCAGGGTGGGAAAGATGATCCACTATGAAATTGAGAGCACCTGGAGTGGGACACACAATGAGATGAATGTGGTGCATGTGGGCCCAATATAGTAGATCCAATGATCAAAAACAGAGATCTCGACTGGGTGCCCCTTGGTGCTTGATATGTGCTACCACCATAGAATTGTCAGAATGAATCATCACTAGACAATTTCTGGTGAGAGGAAAGAAGTTATTCAAAGTCTGACAGACCACAAGAAGTTAAAAGACATTGATATGCAAAGATCTTTTGTATACAGACCAATGACACGAAGCCTCCTGTTGATTGATCCATGCATCCCAACCCTGAAGGGATGCATCCATGAAAAGATGTATATCTGGAGGTGGAAGCAGGACACCCACTGACATATGGGCCTTGTCCAGCCACCAATACAGATCGTCCATCATGGTAGGAGGAAGGGTAATGGGAACTTACAAGGGATGCCAGCAAGGTTCCATTGATCATGAAGAGCCCATGAAGGGATCACATATGCACATGATCAAGGGGAATTAGTCACGTACATTGAAGACCACATCCCCAAAAGCAACAGAACCTTGCAAGCA